AGGAATGGTGGTGTTGGAATTCATCATGATGTTCCTCCCTCTTAGCCCTATAAATAGAGAAGTCTTCAAGCTTCATAAAACACCCCCAAAGGGGGGAGCCTCCATCCCACACTAACATAGACAAGATGAAGTGAGAGTTATAGGTTGTATTAAAAGAGGAATGGTGGTGTTGGAATTCATCATGATGTTCCTCCCTCTTAGCCCTATAAATAGAGAAGTCTTCAAGCTTCATAAAACACCCCCAAAGGGGGGAGCTCTCAAACACTTATCTAGAGCTCCCCTCCCTTCTCTCCCTCAAATTCTCTTAGTTTCTCTTTCTATTTTTCAATTGTTGTAATGAAATCTTTGTGCTGAAATTCTCCTTAAGTTTTTCTTAGTTCCACTTTACTTTTCATTGTTATGTAAATTCTTTTCTTTAGTTTCAAGTTTGATTAGTTTCCAAGTTTCAATTATGGTTTTTGTTCTTATTCATTACGCTTATAAGTTAATATGCTAGTTTGAATGATTGATCACCATTTAGGCTTGCATGTTAGCTATCTTGGTTTGAATTAAGAGTAGACATCATGCTTTAATTCAAATTGAACTATGAATAGGAAGAGTATGTATGGACATTCGACAACAGGGATTAGATACATACTTGGTTGTTTAAAATGTTCTTCTATGCTTAATGGATTCCTAATGCGTAGTTTAGGTTAGACAACAGATGATCAAATTAGGGAAATAGGAATACAAGGTTAGGACCAAACACCATGGCTTAATCATACTTTAGCTAGAATCAATCCGTTAATCTAATTGAACTTGGGAACTCATCTGCTTGAGTTATTTTCTTTTCTTTCTTTCTTGTTTTATTTATTTTCTTTCTTGTTTTTCTGTTTTGTGTAGGAAAACTGAATTGGATTATTCAATCATCAATCCCTGTGGATTCGACCTCGCACTTACATATGCTATACTACCGAACGGCTCGTGCACTTGCGAGTATCACAAGTTGAGGATGCAGCTGAATCGATGCAACAGAACACAGATGATGCCTCAATGAGGAGTGGTAGAACTCAGCTAACCATATCCTTGGGGGGCGCAAAATAGAGAAAATGTGAGTGGACAAAAATAAAGTTTTAACATAAGTTATATCTGAACATACTAACCCCACCGTAGTCAATTCAAACTTTTAAAACTCCATTCAAATTTGGATGTATTCAATCACGACTTTAAAAGACTTCATAAAAGTTTGGGTATATTCAAAAACTCATCGATTTTAAAGGAAATACAAAATGTGGTGGATTTTGTTTGATTAAAGACTAATTTTAGGCCACGACAAATCTTTGTTTCCCCTCAAAATATTTTTTTATAGATATATTATTTTTTTGGGAAATTTGCAAAAATACTACCTGATATATTAAAGAGGACCTTACAGGACCTCATTTTTAGGTCCTTAGGTGAGCGGGATTGTGGACTTATGAATGTTTTATCGAATGCTTTTACTTTCCAAGCATGTGTTTATAATTTATTACTCGGATTTCACTTCAGATTGTTTAAAAATGATTATGATTGTGCATAAATAATGAACGACTTGGAAAGTTGAGAAAGAAATTTGGAAACGGTTGTAGAACAGATTTAAGGAATGATTTTCAAACCCACTTATGTACCTTGGTTGCCTTCGGTTAGGTATATAAATAAAAAATCATAATATATAAAAAGGCTTAAAACATCATAATAAAATATATAAAACATTTAAACATTTTTAAAAAAAAATTAAAAACTTGTTTAAGAATTATATAAAAATGGAAACAAATAAGCTATGTTGCACGGGTACGGATACAAATACGAAAATACGATATGGTACGATACAAAAATCTCCAAAAACTAGAATACAACAATTAAAATAATATATTTTATTAATTTATATGAATTATTTTTAAATTAACATATTAGTTATATTCTATCAGTCAAATATGTTACATTTGCGGATGCTCTAAGGCCTAAAATGTCAAAAGGAGTTTTATTTATTTTGGGTATGGGCTGAAAAGGTATTATCTTTGTTTTGGGGATTGGGTTTGTTGCTGTGGGCTTAAGGGCCCAAGTGAACTTGTTTTTTTCCCTTCGCACGCATCAGCTTCTTCCTGCCGCGCCGCCTCTGCAACTCCGAAGTTTTTCTTCATCTTCGCTCCAACTTCCGTCGTTTGCTGCTGCCGCTGCCGCCGTCGTCTACTGCCAATACGACACCCAAAGTCCGAATTCCTTATTTAACTTAGGTAATTTTATTTGCAAAGTCTTATATATTTTGCTGTGAAGATTGCACAATTTGTTACCTGCCTCTAGTGGATGGTAATATATTATTAGTGAAGTGATTATTCCATTAATTACTGAAATACACAGATGCAATCCACAAAGGAGCAAGTGGTCTAGGGTTTAGGGTTTATAAATTACGACTTATTTTTTAAAATTTCCTCGACGTCACGACGTCGTTCCACAGCTGCCCGACAACTCCCTCCCTGCTGCTGCCCGATAACTCCCTCCCCCAAATGAGTTTGAACACACAATTCAACCTTCAAACCCTAAATCCCCAACCCCTAATCCTACCCAACCTTCACCCAATCCGACGGAATTCCCTCTCTCTCTCTCTCTCTCCACTTTGTCTTGTACAAATACATACGACCGAATTGGTAAAACTAACTGAAGAAACTTTGACATCAGCAACCGCAGAAAATACGTCCTCTAATAATAATCGTTTTCTCTTTGCTGTTTAAAGGTCAGTCCCTTTGCTCTCTTTAGTGTTCTTTCTGCAATTCATTTCTTCGTTCTTCTTTGGGCCTTCTAATTTCTACAGTTCATTGTTACAAGGAACAAAATTTCTGTTCTTTGCATTATTATAAATGGACCAGTCTGATTTGGTGTTCATGTGTGATTAGTGGATTGATTGTTTCAATTTTTAGTTTTACTTACGTTCTTTTTGGTTTTCTATTTCAATTTTGGATTTGATGTTCATTAGTCATTTTAAGTTTGAGTTTGGTCATTGAGATTGTATGGTATGGACCTTTTTGTGCTCCACTATGAATGAACGTTTTGTTAATTAATATTTAAGATCTTTCTCTTTAAACTAAATGCTTTGCACTTCCACATTTCGCCCCTAAAACTAAAAATTCCTGGATGCACCACTGGTAGTGCATATCAACCATTGCATTTACTGTGCATTCATTCTTGACATACTGTAGACAAATATATTTAGTTTGGAATTCGGTTGGGAGGAAATTGGATTATATACCTATACTTAATCAAATTGGATTATATATATAGCTTTGTGAGACTCTGTTTCTTTCAGTTGATTGGTTTTACTTTTGTGAGGATGCAGCATATGCATCGTTTGCTTTTTCTTTAATCTGTTTTGTTTATAAAGTTAAGACTGAAAGGATTATCTCTGCTGCAGTAGGGTAGAAGGGTAGAATTATGAGAGTGAAAAAGCAGAGGAGGCACAGGAAGATAGTGCGGTTCTACACAGCATGCTATGGGTTGAGACAGCCGTACAAGGTGCTATGTGATGTGAATTTTGTGCATCACCTCGTCGTCAATCGCATTACGCCTGCTGACAAGGCCCTCTCTAATATCCTGGGTGCCCCTGTCATGCTTTTCACCACCAAATGCGCTATCAGCGAGTTGAAAAAGCAAGATCTAAGGCATGTTCCTTCCCATTCTCAGGCTCTTGAAGCTGCAGAGAGCCTCATTACTGCAAGGTATGCCTCTCTTTTTCTTTCTTTGGAGATTATTTCATTGTTTCTTACATGGAACTATGTTTATTTCTCAGGTGCGATCATGAGAGAGCCATGAGTGCTGATGATTGCATCATGGATATTATTGGGCAGAATAATCCCGAGCACTTCTTTGTTGCTACTCAGCAGGCTGATCTTCGTGAGAAAATTCTCAAGGTTATTGACTCACTTTATTTCTTACTATTATTTTGGCAGTTGTCATTGTTGGTGTTACTTTTTCCACTGTATATCAGTTGTTGCTCTCACATTTACCCTCATAAATGGCATCTTTGCGTTTGTTAAGCTATCTGGTTTGATGCACATTACATTTGTCATATTGTATATCCTTAAGCATGTATCCATGGAGACATTTTTTCACTTGCAGATACCAGGTGTCCCTGCTATATATGCTCTGAGAACCGCTCTTTTTCTTGAGTCACCATCTGCCGCCCAACGGCAATTTGTCAAAACTTCTGAAGAACAACGCTTGCATGTGACTGACTTGGAATATAAGATGTTGACAAAGGGGACAAAGAATATGTCGACTTCTCATCAAGAAAAGGATTGCTCTGATGAAGATGGTTTTGGAGATCAGAACTTGGAAGTGCAGGCTGTAGCAAAGAAGCATACTGCTAGGAAAGGATTGGGTGTGAAGGATAAAGTTCAGTTTAAGAGAAAGAAGGCAAAGGTATTACCAAACTCATTTCTTTCATTTTCCTGTATATTTATTACTTACTTTTTTTTTCTCTCCTTCTACATGTCTGCTTATACTTAATCTTATGTAAGGTGTTAGAGTTCACCCCATCTAACTTTTTTGATATGGACTGCACATAATATTAAGTAGAATGTTGGAAGGACATCTGTTGTGTTTTTATGGATTATGAAAACTCTTAGAATTTTTAGTATACACGGATCATTCTTTATGATGCAGTATATGTTTCAACTCTGTTCCCCATCTTGCTTACCAAGATATGTATCCCAGTTTTGGCTTGTTTAACTACATAATGCCTGTCTTATGTAGTTAAACAAGGCAAAACTGAGATATTTATATCAAGATATCATATTATGCAAGTAATCGCATGAAAAAATTATTTTTCACTAGGAAGATGCTTTGCTGGATCTACATAAAATTTTAATGCAATCTTATTCATGCACCTGATACTTGAAGGAAGATAATAATGTATGATCATAGTTAGAAGCCAATTTTGCTGATTACTATGCAAGTCTACAATGTTCACCCAATTCTATCTTCCTCACTTTCTATGCATATATATTTTCCTGGATGGGGAACTAGACTCTAATGAATGCTACAAAAATGAGTAGTGTTAAAGAACTAAGATAAAATAAGAACTGTTTAATCGTACAGCCTGTAGTTACCTTATTCGGTGATTAGTTATTCATTTCTTGTTCTGTATTCAAATTTATTTTGATAGCTCTTTTGTAATGGACAATGTTGAATCAAAAGCATTTGCAAGCCAGATGTTTCTGAGCATGTAATCATTTAGCTGATGTTCAGTGTGTTGACATGTTATTTTTTTCAAATTTTTGGGGAAATTAAATAGAAAATGATTGGGATTAATACGTTGTCGATGCATATGCTAATACTGTTAGAAAATGGTTCCTTAAGATGCTGTTTCAATGTTTATGACTTTACCCTTTTTATTCCACCTTGCAGGGTCCAAATCCCCTTTCGTGTAAGAAGAAGAAGACTTTGAAAAACCCAGATCTTCATTCAGTACAGGTGAGCTTGCAAGTATTGTTTATAGCATTCCCCGCTACTGGCTAGTCATTAGTTGAGGCAATATTTTGATGTCTCACTATCCCTTATAAAAATTGCATGCCTAGAACTATTAGCACATGTGGCCCAAGATGAAACTGATTGATATCTCACATTAGTTTACAAAGCTCTAAACTACAATGTAGAGTCACCTGGAACATGGATAGAAACATGTTCTGATCTTTTGGAGAAGAGATGAGACATGATCACTTTCTCTTGCTTTGTGTGTCTTTTGATATTCTGAAGTTTCATGCAGGAAAGGAAGGATGGAGATGCTACTTTGAGGAGTCGTAAGAAGCGGAATAGGTCGCGGAAAGGCAAAAGGCCTGTCGAGGCAGATGGTTAATGTTCCTTGGCTAAAAGTTTTGAAATTTGGCTGGCTTTCACTGGATGACGGGTTGAATGAGCACGCTGTACTTTGGTCAATTTGGAGGGAGATGATATTTTGGGTTATATTAGCTTGTTTGTGTCTCCTTCAAAGTTGGGAGTTATTTTAGCTTATTCATGTTTCCTTCACAGCGAAAATGAAGGGAGCTGTTCACCAAAAAAAAAAAAAGAAGGGAGCTCGCTCACACATGAAGCCAAAGTTATGATTTACATTAAACAAAATTCAAAAGCAAGTGTACCCGTTTTGTTTTGATTTTTTTATATTATTATTTATTAAACAAAGTAGACTCAAAATAAGTGCCACAGTAGAGGGAAAATTTAAAAAAGGTACCCTTTCAAAAACAGACACAAGGAAAAACGCTACCGTTGAAAAAGAAGCCTTTAGATATTCTTTACCTCTTATAACAATAATATCATTGTTTTAGATTTCAATTAAAACCCGAAAATCTGCTTTCTTAATTGAACATTTACAATACAAATGTATTGCCGCAATTTCAGTTTGAAGAACAGTAGCGTATCCAATAGAATAAGTGGAACTTGACATTTATTTTTGGGCTCGTCTGGTAATATTTTCAGAAATCATTTTCGCAGGATATTTTTAGAAAACAAAAACGAGAAAATGGAAATGCATTTTGGAGATTCGAGAATTTGGTAGTTAGTTTTAAAAACAGTGTCGAAGCACAAAAACAATGAAAACCGTATGGGAATAATTCGTGAAAATGATACATGCCTTGGGCTTGACCATTTTAAAATTCTGTTTTTGACATAATTTTTTCATGAATTTATATATATAATTATAAATAAATAAAATTCATTTTCTATTATGCATTAATAAACCAAACATATTTTCCTAAACTCAACTAGATAAAATTTGATAAGAAAAAATAGTAACAAGTAACCAAAACACAATTCCATGATCTATGTGTTCCTCCAAGTTATCATCTTAAAGACTAGCTGAAAAGGGTATTCATAGTCATACAAATCTCTGGACAAAATATTACAAAAACAATATAATGAATAGCCTTGGGTAAAATCACGCCACAAATCTACTGCAATCTTATCTCTAGTGGTCGCAATTTCACCATCAACAATCATGTCTTGTACTTGAAACTCTTCAAACATCCTATTATGAAATGCTTCCATTTGTTGAGGCCCAAAAAATCCAAGGCTATGCCCAAATATATTCTAGGCCCAGTACGATACCTTACTAAGAAGAAACCAGATTCGGGCATGCGAAAGTTCGTCATTCACGCTCGCACGAGTCACGATCCATGTGCCATGCCAAATAAATATGTAATTCGCCACGCTAGAGCCTATAAAATGCACTGGCTCTATAAGCCTATGCTAATTATCCTATCAAGCATCATGTCCCTTTTAAACGCGACAAAATTCAAGCACGCCAAGTGAAAATCATTATTATTACACCTAGCCACTCTACAAGCTTAAGTGGGCCCAAGCCACGCAAATGTCCGGGGCTTGCTTGAATGGGTTGTGGTATGGATGGTAATAAGTTCTCATGAGGCTCATTGATGGATCGAGAAATGGAGGTTCCGGGTCACTTGGGAGCCTCGGAACTCAGGCCCATTTCTTAGGCCCAAAAACATGGGTAAGCACAAGAGAGAAAATATCCCAACCAAAATGGCCCACTAAAATTAACCAAAATAGCCCATTACTTAATTAAAAATAGCCCATTACCTTAGATAGCCCACGAAGCCCAAATGTTTGGTGAATTTAGCCCACTTATTGTATAACTTGATTTTCCATATTAAAAAACCCATACAATTTGAATAAAGGGGATCCAAAGCCCTCAGCACTTGGCTGAAGAGGAGAGCCACAAAGAAGCCAAGGGATCCACACGTGAAGGGATGCTGGGAGGGAAGGAACAAGTTTTCAAGCAAAGCATCCAATGGACCAAAAGATATTGGGGCGCAAGGAGCTACCCTTCAAACCAGCATGTATGCCCAGTTCTTTCCCTCTTCATATCTGACCATGAAAAAGGGAGGGGAA